CTAGCGGAGGAGCAACATTGAGACCAATGCTGAGGACTGCAGACCCCTACAGGTAACAGGGTTAAAATGTGTGTGCACATATTTGTATTGTGGCCTTAAAATAATAAATTATGTGCATGAATTGAAACTACAGCCCATCTACTTCCAATGTCAAAGGGTTAACAGTCCCAAGTCACTGCACTGTATTACCACTTATCTCTACATTGTCCACAACTTGACAACCTCATTTTTTTTATTTTGTACTACAGCCTACACTTAACAAAGCAAAGTTAGCCAGCATAGAGAAAAAATCGTCATTTAAACCTATATGTAAAGGAGAGTGCAGAAGGCATAAGGACAAATTGACAGAATTCAATATATTTGTTTGTGGAAATAAAAGCATACACGGCAGACATGCAGAGAGTTTTTAAATTACAGCAACAGATTATTCTGTCACAATATGTGGAGAGGTTTGTTTGGGTAAAAAATATTAGAATCTGGGAATAACATGACATGACAATAAGTCACAGCATGGAAATATCTCTTCTCTCAAGCATTAGACTGAAAGTGTGCATTAGAACAGTAGTCCTCCATTAACTATACCTTCATATAGTCAATTATTAACAGTAATGGCATTTATCACTAGAATAATTTAGTGCAGAGGAACATAGTCAAAGAGCCATGGCCAGATAAAAATCAGTATAAACACATTTATTATATTAAGACCTTGAGAGTGTTTTACTATGTTGAAAAAACAGAGTTACAAAATGGGAATACAGATAATAAAACACTGCAAAAGTAATAAAATGCAAGAAAAAGATCCCTGGCACTACATGTGCTATAACTCCAGACAATACCAGTAAAGGAATATTTTAGCAGTTAATAGTGTCTAAAAGTAGTTTCAGTAACTTCTCTATATATGCAGATCTGGTATCCAGCTACTGGTTCTTTGGAATACAGGTGAGGGTTCATGTCATACCCACATGCACATAAACAGAAACACTCATATAAACTTGGTTGGTTGGCAGCTCTCAATGTTGAGTGCCTAGTTGTAAAGTGACTGGATCGATACGGGGGAGTGAATTGCCAATTTCAGTTTGTTCTATTGAAATCGGCTGGCGCTGCATTCTAGAGGGAGAGCACCTGAAATTGGCAGTGGCAGAGTGGAATTGGATTTGTAAGGAGAGAAAAGAGTGAGCACAATGATCAGAGAAGGACTTGGACGCCTACATCCATCTTCATGCACGTACAGACACACACAGACATTCTTATGGCATTGCTGAACACATGATATCTCAGCCCCATTATGGCGGCAGTTATGAAAGTGCCTCTACCTCCCTGTCTTATGCCATCTCACCTACATGGGCCCACTCACACACACACACTCAGCGCTCAACTTGGCTTCTTCGATCCTAAAGTCCACGGTAATCAAGCTCTGTGTTGAAAGAGCAGATGATTGTGTGTCTAGATAGTGAATCGCTGCTTCCGTTTGATACTGTCCATTCTGTTTATTGGAATGATATGGACTGAAGCCATCCCCAAACTACAGTGCATATTGGCAAGTATGGATGTCTGGCCATAGAAATTGTATACAATTTAAACCATATATTTTCAGTCCTTTCTAGCCCAGCAAATCAAAATCGATAAACAGTGTGGAGTTTGTTCAGCATTGCTTTTGAAAGCTGCACAGGACCCAATGGCGATGGACCACAGAGAATCTTAGCTTTTTCTGGACACTTTGAATACCAGACCCAATAAACTTCACATACATAACATCATGTTCAGAGGCAGATCCCTGTTTAACAAATGGAGACTGCATCCCATCGTATTTAATCTCTGTTTGGGAAGGCAAAACTATTTGCTTTAAGGCGGAAAGCCAACTGCCTGCTTTGGTTTTCTGTTCGTGCCTATGATTCCCACATTTGATGGCCAGAGAGGAGGTGAGTGTAGTTCATCAGTGCTGCTGACCTGCTACATGACGATGATTGCGACATTGTGTTACTGTCGCAGCAGAGGGTGCAGTCATCCGTCTTTACCTCACAAAACCTGGGAAGCATTGTTACAAGACAAAGACGATGTAAAAATGAGCAATAGCTACTAGGGATGGGGATCGTTAATATTTATTGATATCGATACCTTTATCGATACTCCTTATCGATCCGAGTCTTTATCGATACCACTATCGATACTTTTCTATTATTTGGTG